AATATTATATAATTATATTATATTATATTATATATAATATATATATATATATATATATACTTTCGCAGTTTTTTGTAATGGCAAAAGTAAATTTGATCAAGCAAAAGAAAACCTACTATTAATAAATCATATATATATATAATTTTTCTTTTCTTTTTAATTAATAATGAAAAAAGAATTTTTGTTTATATCATCCATCAACATTGCGTTTGTTCGGACTCGATGATTATTGTTGTTGCTGTTGTCCTTTCGTTTCGTTTGGTTTTAATAAAATATTATTAGCGTCGTGACTGTTATTATTGGCAGTAGTAATAGTAGTTGTAGTAGTTGTAGTAGTAGTTGTAATAGTAGTAGTATTATTTTCACTACGTGCAACCAATTGCATAGAACTTTCCTGTTGTTGTTGTTGTTGTTGTTGTTGTCGTTGTCGTTGACGTTGACGTTGATTAAGATTATTATCACCACCACCATTATCATCATCATCATCATCATTATTTTCTTCTTCGTATTTATCTAATTCAACCGACATCGCGGATTGATAGTCACACCTTCTCCTCTCCCGCCACCGGACCTGCGGTCGAGCGGATAAACTGAAACAGTCAACGTCCCAAAATGGACTCGACTTTTGGCACGTTGTGTCATTGGCACGACACGGATTTTTTTTCCAATTATTTTCTTCCTTATTTATTTCCTAATTAACCCAGCATAAACAAATAATACCCACCCCATCCCTCTTCCTCTTCCTCCACCTTTCTCTCATTTTTTTCTTCTTTATTTTACTTTACTTTTCTTATCCATTTTTTGTTCGATTGAAATTAAATATCGTATTTGTAATAATTGAAATCAAAACACGTTTCTTCAAATATTATTAATTATTTTGTTAAGTTTTTTTTCTCGTTAACAAGCTTTAGTTTCTTTTATCGATCTCGTTTATCTTATTCGTGTGTGTGTTAATGATTAATTATTATTAATTATTATTTTTTAATAGAGAGACTGTCCGATCCTTGCCATTTCGTTTATTTATTTGTATGGGGGGGAGGGATGAAGGGATTCGATAATATAGTTCGTTCTTATTTGATTTATATTTTTCTAAGACAATAATTAATGTTATTTAATTATAATTGTAAATATTTTAAAATGCATGCTTAACGTTAAAGATTTGTGATTTATTTAACACGAATAATTAATAATAATACAGTAACAGTTTATCA